CTCACCCACACCATTTGATATTTTTGAACGCAGCTGTTATGTTTTAAAACTTGGCAATACTGCTAGAAATGTCAATATGGCGGAATTTCTTAGTAGTGAAAAGAGTTGCTGCAAAAAAGTATTGGATTTCAATAATTAGAACATTACCTCACTGTTTATATTAAAAGGTAAGTCATTATAATACTCCTCGAATGTTTTAATGATTTTTTTCTTGTTTAGGGGAGTAAAATGCATTCACAGAATGCTAAATCAATTTGAGGTGTTGTACTGTTGGTTACGGTGTCGTTTATGCAAATCCGTCATTCCCTCACTATATTAGAAAGTAAGGCAATGAAAACTATGAGGGAATGAATGTTGCATATATAAAATTGTGGTTTGGGTCTTATTGATTAACTCCAGGTTGTATATATAGCATGTGTTTCCAATTTTAACACATATCCGTACATCAAGAATGGGGAAAATGAATAAGTGAATTGAAGAAGAAAAGAAATTAAAAAAGGAGTACGACAGAAAGAGGCGAGAACAAATGAAAATTAATGCTGAGTCTTTAGAAGCTTTGCGTGAAAAAGAAAGATTAAAGTATGTAAAGAAGAAGTTAAGTCAATAAGTACTATGAGTGCAAGAAAAACTAGGCAAAAATGAAAACAATGGAAAAAGAATAGTAAAGTTTTTAGGGAAAAGCGAGTTACATTACAAACAAATTTACAGAGAATAGTTGACGACACACCCCCACCAAGTCCTGTACCACCTTTACAGTACAGAGCAGAGGATTTGCCTGATCTCAATAGACGTAGAATGCGCAAGCGAAGATTGAAAGTTTGGAAAATAGAATAAGGAACGCTGTCCAGCTTAGCGAAAAATCCAAGAAGAGGTGTTTGAGATTGAAAACTAAAAATACTGACCCAAACTCTCCAGCAACTAAAGTGTCTTCGCTTTTAAAGAATATACAAGCTCCTGACGTTGTAAGAAAACGACTCATTTTCGGAGAAGCACTGCCAACGGACCTCAAGAATATCTATGAAGATCTTGGAAGTAAACATGGAAAAAAGAAAAAATATTACATGTTGAAGCTGCAAAAGATACAAATTGCTATATAGACCGAAACGCTTTTTCAAAAATGATACGTACAAAAAGAACTGTACTCGTAAAGTTAGCTCCAAAATGCTGAAAGTTAGGGCGATGTTGTTCATTTCTTAGAGAGTGGTGAAAATACGAGGATGTGCCCTTTAAAGTATAAAACAAATCTCAATACATCTATTAATAAATTAACTTATGTTTCTGATTGAAACTCGGCATCAAATTGTTGTAAATATCATTCCCTCATCCTATCAGTCATTCCCTCATTTCATAGTTTTTTAAAATTCATTCTTCTACATGTTATACACAAAAATATGGAGGACCTTCATTATTAATGAACCTCACTAAAGTAAAACTTTATATTTTTGCAAAAAAAGGATATATTTTCATTATTTTTTGTAAAGCAATTTGTTATATTACCCATAATACCCAATTATTGAGAAATGACGTTTCCAGTCAGTGTTATCGGAAAAAATCTGATCTGTTGTATTACTATTTCTCGCATTTGGTATGGTTGAACATTCTTCTGATACGGAGTAGTCTTGATTTACTATGGTGCCAGAAAATGCCCGCATCATTAGCTTCAAAGCAGCGCATGTAGATCAAAGCAGTCAAATTTGCCCGTGGAAACAAAACTTTCATTTGTAGATGGGAACAACTTTCAATTGTTGCAGTGGGTAAACCGTACTACCATGATAAAATCTTTTAAACAAAAAATATATTTGTACATATTACAGGGTCTTTGCCATAGAGTGGAAAGAAAAATAAGAATGCGACAAGAAAAACTGTTGATCGTCTGTTTTTGAATTGTTTGTTATCCCTTATATATCGCAATAGATCAGAAGGTATTATTGTTTAATTGCGAAGATGTTTTGTTTACTTTAGAACCTGAAAGTATAAGAACATAATTTACAAGATGTATAAGCTGAGAAAAACTACATACTATAGGGAGAGTATTTAACAATACTTGTGGTAGACATATTTTGGTGAAAATTACACTGGCAATAAAGAACACTCAAATCATTCGTAAAACACCCTTATTTTATCCAATGTTGATATTTTCATGTAGTTTTTCATGTTAATTTCTAAGATTTGCTTTTGGGCAAGTATTATTTTAATTAGGAAACTGCATACTCTGGCGTCGTTTTATGTTTTCTTAGATAACGTTTCAGGTTTTCAAAAACTCAAAAGATGTTTTTGAATGTTTTGCAAGTTCTATCCAGGTCAGTATGTAGGTTAATGTCTGATCCAAAAGATCTAGATTTACATTTTCCTCAAAACATCAAAACGTATCTAACAGTCAAGCTGAGTGTACTGAGTCTCCTTTTCAGAATAATTGTAGCTTCGTGTATGATAGTTAATCCTGTTATTGATCTTTCTAATCTCGACACCTCTGGGGATTCAAGTATACAAAGCGGAACACTTATTTTCTAGTTGTTAATACAAACCCATTCCTTGATTACTCATTATTTTCATTGTTAGTGAAATTTCATAATGATTTAAGGAGCCTAATTCTTGTAAAATGTCTGTCTGGGAAATACCGTCTTTTTACTTGAACTAGTGTACCAATCCACGGTACCCATACATTTACCACTCGTTCTACTTAAAAGCACTTTGAATGACCAGCAATTATAGCCTGATAAGTAGCTAGATAACACCTTGGAAGTAGTCAAGTAGTAAATTGGGTCTGGCCTCATTTCGACATTCTTTTGTGTAATCCGTGTCTCTGATGTTAAAGGAGTACAACGAGAGTTTTCATCACGAAGTCTGCCAATAAAGCCTTTGTACCCTTTTAGGTCGTGAGATAAAACAGAATAGAGTGTCAGTGGCACTGCAGTCACTAAATTTCAAAAAGGCATGTGGTAATACAAAAATTAGTTTCAGTCTGTAGTATTCGAGGCGTTTCAGATTAAGTGTACAATTCAATTCTCCTACGCAAAGGTACATTTTTACCAACTATCTATATATTACTACAATAGTGGACTGCCGTAAGATGTAAAAATAAAATATCAAAACCTCTGAACCCGGTCCACTCAACTGGATGCTCTCCATTATAACAATTTTTAAAAACAAATAAAAAAATATAAAGAAACACAGTGCGATTCAGGAAGCAGTGACAATATTTATAGAGCATAAGGTAGATCAAAATATAATACGAAAAGTTTATTTAAATATGGGTCACAAAATGTCCGGGTGGAGGGTGGGCTCAAGGGAACAACATCGAGGATAAAATTTGTTTTTCGAACATCCGCGGGATTAACAGCAACATTGATGCTGTTCATCACTACCTTCAATCCAATCGCCCCCCCGTGCTTTTCTTGGCGGAGACAAAAATCTCAGAGTCTGCACCGATTAACCATCTCAACTTCCCAAACTACGAGGTGCACTCGAATCTTCTTCACTTAAATTCTTGATTTTCCACATTCTTGATATACGGATATCTGTTACAATTTAAAACAACCTGGAGTTAAACAATAACACCCAAACCACAATTTTATATACTAAGTGACATATAAATCCGAACACCCAGTTTAAATGGTTTTACTTTAATAAAAGTTGGTGAATGTATTTATCTTACTGTAAATAACAAGTGAAAAAATTTTCAGCCTTATCAGTTGGACATTCCGGTTTTTATACTGCTTTTTTTTAGTTCACTAACGCTCTAAAAATGAATACATATTTCAGCCGCAGTAAAGAATCAACGTTGGCGGATTTTGGTTCTTGACATCCTTTACGATCGGTTACAATGCCTAGAGTACGGAGACCTGTACGATTTCGTCAACTTAGTGAGTTTGATAGTGGCCGTATAGTGGGACTTCGGGAAGCTGGACTTTCTTTTCGGGCAATTGCAGTTAAGCCGGGTTTACACGGGTCAAGTAAACGGTCAAGTTACTTGCCTTCGCACTTGCGTGCTTGTATTCTACTTTACTTGATTCACAACTTAATCCAAAAATCGCGTTTCCACGTAGTCCAGTAAATGTGCAAGTCGGCAGTTAAAAACATGATGGAAAGTCGTATTGTCATATGAAATTGTGTCATTAATCTCACAAATATTCTCCTGCAAGAACTGGAAGAAGTTTTGGAGGAAGAGTGAAATCCTGAAAAAAGGATATGGTGTCGAGAATGGTTTACACGGAAAGAAAGTCAAGGAGCTTCCACCAATTTAATAAGGGAGCTGAGATTTGAAGATCCTAAATAATACAGAATGATGCTAAGAATGACTGCTGAAACATTTGACTATTTGTTAGGCTAAATAAATCCATTAATCCAACGAGATGACACGATCTAATAGACGCTATCAAACCAGAAATAATGTTGGAAGTAACCTTAAATTACCTAGCAACTGGTAATAATTACAGAACCCTTTCTCATCTCTCCCGAGTTTCTAAATCAGCGATATCTATCATGATGCCCATTGTTTGTGAAACTGTGTATGACTGCTTAAAGGATTTCGTGAAGGTATGTGAATAAATAATAATAGAACATTTTTAAAATTTGATTTAGGCTTCTTAATAAAAAAACAAACAAATTCAATTGTAACATTTAGTTTGTCAAGTTCCATGCTTGCGAGATAGTATCTCCGATAGCAGCATCATCATTTGCAACTATGTCCTCGTTCATGACCGGGTAATTAGTGCTGTATTCAGGAGTAGTTGCAGGAGGTGAATCCCAAGAAAGGGTTGGTGATTGAATTTCAGTTAATGCGGAAGCCTCAGAAGCAGAACTGCTCTTATTTAACGCACTCAATCGATATTTTTTTATTACTCTTTGAATTTCACCTTGCGCCGTGATTGAATCAGCAGGGGGCAGTTTATTTAAACTGGCTGTAATGAACTTGCCAGAACCTTCATGGTCACTAATGGACTCAGAAGTTATTGTTTCCTGAACTTTTCGGACCTCTGCAACAGCTGCGGCTAGTGCTTCTATCCGTGCTTTTTTATTTTTTGATCCTGGTTCTTCTCGACAACCTGTTTACCAGTCGATTCTACTCGGGAGCATGTTTTGCTGGTCGAAGATCTTATAGGAGTCTGCGAGAGATTTGGAGGCGGTTCTTCAATGACTTGTTCCTCTAGCAGACCTTGTTCATTTCCGCTAGGTGGAACGATTTGTGTTTCGTAAAATGAATAAATTACTAATTTAAGATTTCTCATTTGCTTAATGATTAATTTTTATTTTTTGTTTATTTTTTCAGGTTTTTGATACACATCATGCATGGAAAAAAGTTGCGAATGGGTTTGAAGCAAGATGCAATTTTCCTTTCTGTTGTGGTGCCATTGATGGCAAACATGTCTTGATCGAGACTCCCCCACATACTGGAAGTGAATACTTCAACTACAAAGGCTCCTTCAGCGTGGTACTAATGGCAATTGTAGGTCGCAGTTACTGTTTTTCTTATTTTAAAGTAGGGACAAAGGGATCTAACTCAGATGGTAGAATTTTTCAAAACAGCGAAATTTCAGGAGCTCTAGAAGAACCCGATGGTTACTTTTTAGTTGGTGATGATGCTTTTCCACTAAAACTCTATCTATTTAAACCATATAGTAGATACCGACTACCTCTTACCGATGAAGAAAAGATTTTCATTTATCGGCTTAGTCTTGCCAGAAGAATAGTGGAAAATGGTTTTGGAATCTTAGCAAGTAGATTTCGTGTTTTTGAAACAAAAATAAAGATAAAAGTTTCCTATGTGAATAAACTGGTTAGTGCTGGAATTGTAATTCAAAACAGGCTACGAAAAACGTCACCAGATCAATACTTCAATAATGCACAATTGGTTGATTGTCAAAACCAACACACTGGCGAAATAATACCTGGACAGTGGAGACAAGAGATACGAGAACTGAGAAACATACAGGGGCGTCAGAGATAGCAAAACAAATGCCAAACAAAATGAGGGATTATACTATTTCTGAAGGAGCAGTGCCTTCGCAACGAAATTTTATAAATCAGTTACCAGTTATTACAAAAATACACTTTTGACTTACTATGCTTTTCGTTTCATTTTCAGCTGTGTAGCTATCCATTATTTCTTCCATTTTTCGGAACCACTTGACAGTTGGAACGTATATATCATCCGGTTTACCTCCTGATTTCCCAGACTTTTTAAACTTCAACGCTTCCTGATTATATAGGTTGTTCCCATTATCTTAATTTTTTGTTTTAATTCTGCCACCCCAAAACCTTCCTTTTCCATCCTGTTCACGATGTCCTCTTCCGCTGCTTTTCGCATGTTTTTATTGCGATAATTTACACTACTCTTCTTCCATAAACACTCTTTTTCCCTTCAACAAAATTCATGGTTTCTTCTTGTGGCCACTTCATCTTGTATAAATTCAACCTTAATTCACAATTTGTAATATACCAAAATCACCGAAATTATTTGCTTATCTGTGAGTGCAAATCCACAATCCATACGCAAAAACTTATTTACTCTTGCATTTTCTGTTTACATTGGTAAAGTAGACGGTCAAGTTGGCGATCCAGTGAAGTGGGGGTAGCAGTCAAGTAAAGTTACTTGTTCACCGTGCAGAACCACTTGACTTGCCGCGTCACTTGAGGCAAGTCGTTACTTTACTTGGCCGAAGTCGTTTAGACGATGCAAGTAGAAAAAATACTTGACTTCACTGCTCAACTTGACCGTTTACTTGACCCGTGTAAACCCGGCTTTAGAGTGCAAAGAAGTGTAGACACTGTGGTTAGGTGTTGTCAGGCATGGCTTCGAGAAGGCTGTACGCAAAGAGCAAGGGGCACTGGACGCCGCCGTAGAACAACAGACCGTGAAGATCGCCGCCTAAGATTATCGGCCTTAAGGGACCGTTTCTCCTCTACCCGGTCCATTGCAAATGAATGGTTTGCAGAACACGGAAGACCTATTGGCATGCGAAGTGTTTACCGACGGATGAGAAGTTTTGGCTTGTTTTCATACTGGCCACACTGGGTCCTCCCTTTAACTCGAGAACACCGACGTAATCGCCTTGAGTGGTGCAGACAACGGTCACTCTGGGATCAGGAATGGAACAGTATTGTCTTTAGTGACGAGTCTCGATTTTGTTTAGGCATGCACGATGGTCGTGCCAGGGTTAGAAGGCGACGTGGTGAAAGGAGGAATCCACAGTTTTTTGTTGAAAGACATATTTATCACACTGTTGGAGTTATGGTTTGGGGTGCTATAGCTTATGGTTCCAGGTCACCTTTAATCTTCATCAGAGGTAACATGAACGCGCAGCGTTATATACACGAAGTTCTAGAACCCCATCTTTTACCCTATCTTGACACCCTGGCAGATCCAACTTTCCAACAAGATAATGCCCGACCACATGTTGCAAGAGTCACAATAGACTTCTTTCAACATAATCATGACACATTGTTACCATGGCCACCAAGATCTCCCGACTTATCCCCAATTGAGCACGTGTGGGATATGATGGGTAGGAGATTGCCCAATTTGCAACGTCCTCCTCAGACTCTAGAAGCACTTCGAGAGGAGTTGGTGGTTGCCTGGAATGAGATAGCACATGAGGACATTGACCACCTGATCAGAAGCATGCCTAGGCGCGTTGGAGAATGCGTAGCACATCAGGGTGCATCCACACATTATTAAAGGTCAAAGGGTGTTCGGATTTATATGTCACTTAGTATATATGCAAAAATCATTCGCTGATATAATTTTCATTGCCTCACTTTCTAATCTAGTGAGGGAATGACGGATTTGCATAAACGACACCGTAACCAACACTACATCACCTCAAACTGATTTAGCATTTTTTGAATGCATTTTACTCATCAGAACAAGAAAAAAATCGAACATTCGAACAGTATAATGACTTACCTTTTAGTATAAACAGTGAGATAATGACACAGAGGAATTTAATGTTCTAATTATTGAAATCCAATACTTTTTGCAGCAACTCTTTTCACTATTAAGAAATTCCGCTATGTTGACATTATTAGCAGTATTGCCAAGTTTTAAAAACATAACAGCTGCGTTCAAAAATTTCAAATGGAGTGACCACAAATCGAATATTTATAATGGGTGAGGGAACGATATCATTTCAAGGACATAGTTTAAATAAATTTTTTTATATGCATATTTATTTTTTAGCAATGAAAGCTTGACTATACAATCCATACTTATTACCAAATATTTTAGTAATATTCTATTTATAAGAATATGAACAGATTTGATTGTACGAGTATATATTTTTTTATTATTAATTCCAGACCCAGGGACGAGATGAGAGAATGACTTTTAGACTAATAAATTAATCGTATTTCTCTTGTGTCAATATATTATCTAAATTTTTTCTTTTAAAATATTACTGTTGATACTTATTGATATAATAAAAATGTTAAATTGACGATAAATTCATTGCAACTTAGCATCAATGGCTCAGGACATGAATTTCGAAATTTGCTGCGAAATGCCTGTTTATAAAGTGAAAAGTATCTGTACTCAAATTATTTTATGCCAGTACTTCAATCTTTTACGGCAATGGCAACTTGCTTTGAGTTATTAAATTCATCTTCCGAATGGTAGCGATTAGATATAACATCTTTGTAATCTATAGATATATCATCGATTCCAACATATAAACGAACCACTCCAGTAGGTGTACCTATAATATAGGTAAACGAGCCCCATCCACCACCCGGAGCCTTCATGAAAGAGTCTATTAAACCTGATTTATAGAATTCTCTCGGTGAGTCATCCGGACCCCATCAGCGAGGAGGTTCCGGAATTTCCTGAAGCGGTATTCTCGGCATGCATCCAAACCGTCGAATGCGACTGCCCCGTTGTGTCTCGCGTGATGAGTAATAGTCTTGGAGCTACGGTTGGCATTTCTCACATTTCTACCTTTTATAGTAAGGTTGACTCCGGAATTTTTATTAAGATTGTAGTTGGGTGGCGTACTGTTTGAGGTGTGAATTGGGCGAATGCCTCCAAACGAATACCGAAAGTTGTAAAGTTTCGTCTTAAAGCTGGGACTGTACACTGGTCAGTGCAAATTGCTTCACCAGATTAACAAGCTGGGCATGGGGAGACCCTGAGTGTAGATTGTCCAAAGAGAGAAACATAACGTTTAAGCATGTTTTGAGCAGATGCCTTGTGATTAAGAGAGATGCGTACAACACACTTAGGGGAGTAAGACTCCAAGTAGAAGACCTGAAGGATATTTCTCCAAATGAGCTGATCGACTTGCTCAGAAGGTCGGAGTAACTGGGAGAAATGTAGGGTGTCCTGGAAGTTGCGACTTTCCTTTTCAAAAACAATTACGCTCGAAATAACAAAGCTAACGTGTAGTCAAACAATAGCGAAAAAACAGCTGTATCACTTATAAGTACTGTTCGAAGTTGTCGGCCTTTGTGATATGTTTTGTAGAAAGTCTAGGTATAGTCACAAAAACGCACTCTTGCAAGAAAATCGTCAGCTTGGAGGGCTCGTGCAAAAGGGTACAACCAAGTGACCCGCAGCGTTTACAGCACTTTGGTCTTGGAGACTTGCATTTGTCTGGCCCAGGGGTCGGCAACCTGCAGCTCGCGAACCGCATGCGATGCGGCTCTTTTGATGTCAAGTTGCGGCTCTCCAGTTCATAGTAAATCCTCTCAACACAAATATAAATGAGATCAATATTGAGCCATTTGGAATTAATGCTGGTTCATTTCAAATGCAATTGCTGGTTTTTGTACATTGTAACTTTTGGTTCTTCCGCCTCTACAGGTTGCCGTCCCTTGGTGTAGCCATTTCCCTAGTACTTGCTGAAATATTTTCTTCTACACCCTCGACATTCCTGCAAACGTCCTGTATCCCCAGGTTTTCACGCAAGGTAAACAAATTAATCTACGCGACCTTGAATTATAACGTCTGGAAAAGCGATCTGCATACTCCAGAAGCCTCAGTAGTAAATGAATGTATTGTTTACCTACGCTGCCGGCGCCTGGGTTGAGTACTGACGTATGGTATGCCTTCTTACTGTTGATCTGATAGAGATAACAGGAGCGGATTAGGTTTAATTGATTTTGCTGAGCCGAATGTCTCGGCTATTTTATTACTTTGGTGTATATGCTACTACGCTAATGTTTTCAAGATACGATGTGCAGCGGAGGATCGTGATTGGCCCATTCATAAAAAAACCTAACCTAACCTGTATAG